AAATACGCATCGTGTAGCGAAATGAGAGTATTAGTGTCTCTTGATGCAGAAATGCGCCAGAGGGTTCTGCAGAGTAAACTCGATAGTACCTTGTTTGTACGCGCACCAGATTGAAGATCGAAAATCTGATGAGGTTATCGAGGCTATTACCAGGTAGCAATCATTCTTAATATAGAGATAATAATAGACGTATTATTGCTCTGAGCGCGCAATACAATTCCCGAGGACGACAAAGGAGCAGATGAACATTTTAAAAGAAATCAAAGTCGTCAATTGAAAACTTAATGTACCATCAATTTTCACGTAAACTAGAAAACGGTGATAGATTTATTTTAAGACTGCAAACATCTTTTAACCCTCGGCCTGCGAACTCTGGAACACATTTAATCTCTAAAATATGTAAACAATGTTACGTTCCTATCAGTATTCCGTAGAGAGGCGAACAGTGAAGTGCTGCTTTTAAAAATACTAGTTATGTGTATGCATTGTGAACATGACTAATAAAAAGTAACTTTCTTGTATTTTGCATTCATCTTATTATCTTGCCTGTCCTTTAGCTGTATAATAATACACAATTTTAACAGAAAAACTATTTTTATGATATATATTAATAGGGATCCAAAAATACTCAGGATTGGTCTCTGCATTCTAGCGGAAGGTCGGCCCTCAAAGGATTAATATACAGGGTGTCTCACATAACTTGACCATTTTTACATCCCTTATTTCTTGAATATCCTTCTATCAGAGTTCTTTCACTATTTTCGTCAATTGTCTAGTGTTTATGAATTTGTTTACTTTGTGTCGTTATTATAGTTACTGAAACCAACACCTTCACTCGAGTATATGAGGTATCCGGATACCTGAATATCCATGAAATACAACGGTCTAAGCGTGAATCTGTACACTATATAAAGCGCAATCCAAAATGTTTCTATAGTAGAAATTATAATATTTTACGATGTGCTGTGTAAAATGAAGTGTACACTTGGACACATATTAATATTCTCCGAATGGGAAAGGGACAAATAATATCAAAAATTATTTCTTTTCATATCCTTTTAATAAATTGGATCCTTTTTACTTGTTATTTAATTTAATTTGTGAAGCATGTTATCTATGTAGTGTGGAGAGCGAGATATGTATGTGTTGCGAGTGCGTATGCCGTGTATTGAAGCGGAGCAGCGTTTCGAGCGAGAAAATAAAAGAAGAAGGGCGAATATAGTCAGCGTTCAGCCTCGAAGCATTATATAGGGTGTCCAAAAAATGTCTCGCAATCCGGAAATGATGGATTCCTGAGGTTATTTGAAGAAACTTTTTCCTTAGCAAAAATGCAATCCGCGGCTTTGTTTACGAGTTATTAACGAAAAATACTGACCAATGAGAGGTGGGCTCGGCTGGCGCAAGACGGAGGAGTCAATGAGCGGAACTGGGCTTCGTGCGCTCGTTGACTGGACCTCCGCGCGCCAGCCGAGCTCGCCTCTCATTGGTTAATGTTTTTCGTTAATAACTCGTAAACAAAGCCGCGGATTGCATTTTCGCTAAGGAAAAGGTTACTTCAAATGACAGATTGCGAGACATTTTTTGGACACCCTGCACATCAAACTTTGCACTAGAATATATTTTTTTCTTTAAAATATTAAATTAGGTAATTCTTTTTAATCGAGATATCCGTTCAGAAGACTCGCGATAGGGAATCCGACATCTATGTTCCGTATATGGAAACATTTTCTGCAGTTGAATTCTTTTAATAAGTACTGTGGTAGCCGTCTATCTCATGAGATACCCGTGTACTCGGATAATTTTCATTTACCCGAGTATCTCATGGGTAAGCTGGGTATCCGCGTATCTCGTAGGTCAAAGCTTTAAGAGCTACCGTAACTGTCGTACACCTTTTACGGTGTTTTAGTTAATAAGATTAATTAGTTTTTTTTGACATGCTTGTAAGTTTTATTTTGACATTAAAAAACGAGTTACATACTAGATTATGAACATTTTAATATATCTTAAACGCTAAATGTGTCTTCATTTTGCTGCACCAATTAATTGTGAGTAAACTCGTGATTTTAATAAATTAGTAGGTTGATCCGTTTCTCGTGACGAGTCAAGTTGATTCTCTGCCTCTTAACTATGTTAAAGAAGAGTTGGATTCTTCGAGAAGATTTCACACGGCGTATTTAATAAAAAAAAAGATGTAACAATGTATTTCTTTTATCAAAGAATGAATTACTATTCTAGAATTTTGATCGCCATTACTCATTAAATCTGACTACGAGTAACAGCATCATTATCTATTCATTTGAATAATATCAGTCGCACTTTAATCTATCTTTAAACTGTTGCCTAAATTTTACAGTAAAAAGTTTTGTTATATGTTAGTAATATTTTAATCTTTCAAGCTTGATTCAAATATTTGAAACGTGCTATGTCAAAACTTCATCGTTCATCGTCATTCATCGTATCACAGAAACTCTTTCTTCATGCAATGAGAATGGCATGCGAAGTATACTTCTACTTTGTGGAACCGTTTTCCCTACTAAATATTTTACGAATTCTATAACTTAATATTTCTACTTATGTGAATTATACAATAATCGACGGTACTACATTCAAAATATATGTCTACAATTAAAAAATCATGAACCGTTTACTGATACACGCGTTAAGTAGAATCACTATGTATTGATCAGACTGGATAAATGAAATACGAAACAATAGAAGCATTAAAACGATCTAACTGTGCTGTTATATTAATTTCCACATACTAAAATTATTAACCCTTCACACTCGAAGTCATTTTGATCTGAAAATGAGGACATTTGTTTCAGCCTTGTGTATTTCCATTTGTTATGCTTGTTTTAAATTAATGCTGATAAAATTGAACCTGTTTGTTTATAGACAAATGATTGAATACAGACAAATAATTAGTCACCGATTCCCAGACTAAATTTTCTCAAAAATGTTTCTTTCATTATTTCAAAATGCCATTGCAATGTGCTCAGTATAAAAATGATTGAATGTCCTAATGTAAGCTTATTAAATAAGATTGAATCGTGTTTATGGATTTTCTGTGTGCATTATTCTGTCAGTTAATTGTGCCCATAATTATGAAAGTGGTCTAAGTCATATATTTCTTGTTTCGAGATATTCAATGAATCGCATTTGAATAAATTAAAAAATATTTTTACATTATGTGACATTTTAATTTATAATTTTATTAGTCTTGATTAATGGAAATTTATTATAGATATGAAATTTTGTGTGAATTTCATAGGAAAATGTTGTTTTTAAAGCTTGAATTGACTTAGACCATTTTCAAAATTAGCTGAATGTCCTATAATTGACTTAAAGTAATAAAAAATTGTGATTTTTATTTGAGCCGTTTATTTTGAAAGTGGTGTAAGTCCAATGTCATCGAAAGAAATTGTAAGTGGCG